GGGGAGACAAATAGACAAGTTAAACTCTAGTACCTAAGAACATGAGGAAGAAGTAATTCAAGTCACAGACCAGGAATCCCCAGTGTGGGGAACAGGTCAGAGAACACCAAACACGTCAAATATTAACTTATTTACCAAATAGGGGGCCAGGGAAGGCAGGTTAAATTTTTATAAATCCTGGAGGTTTTGTACAGAAGCAGAGACCCTTCTACCCCCTCCTCTCCAGGAGACATTTCCAACTGTATTATGATACACCAGAATGGGATATCAGAATAATCACCGAGAAAAAGGAGCTTGTATCCTGCCTGGAGCTCAGGAGAGAAGGGGCTTTGCCATGCTGTTCAAATTATATATTCTGATCCCTACAAAAAGAATAGCTGCTTGAATTACCTAGTTTCTCCTGGAGATCCTAGTTCTTTGTTCCAATGGCCCAGAAAGCTCAGTATTCGGCACCATGCGGCCTAACTCTGCCCCAAGACTATCCCCAGATCAAGCTGGGGCTGGTCTCCTTGGTTCTGTTTACCCTTTAAAAAATACTTGTACAAACAATCCTTTCCCACCCGTTCCCCAAAGACCCCAATAAAATAACATGGGAGCAGCAGCTGCTTCTACAGTTTTGTTCTGAAATGGTGATAGATAAAATAAGGGAATAAATAGAGAATGGGTGAGAGGCAGAATCTCCATCCCTGTGTCACACTGCCAGAGGGAGTTCCAGAGAAGAATCTTCAGTGGGCCGGTCCTCACTGGGCTGTGAGGTCTTCTCCACTACACGGCCCTCTTCACTGTCCGTGCCAAAGGGGAGGTTTGACGGGGACCACGAGGGTCGGAAGTCTTCATTCTCCGGCTCCTCAGGGTTACGGTCTTCGGGCACTAGCGCTTCTAGAGTGGATGCTTTTCCTACTTCTGGTTTACAGAGGGCAGCTGGGTCTGTGGGGCTACAAGCCACCAGTGAGGTAACAGGGACAGAGAAGACACTGAGATCCTTCTCCTTGGGGAAAGAGGGTGGGACTTCTCCTGTACTAGGCTCTCCTTTCACCCCCAGGACTGGCCTCTGCTCCACCTGATAATAGACCAGGGGCCCACTGTTCAAATAGGATGGGTTGGTCACTGCTGAGGCAGCTGGGTGGTCCGAGTTCTCAGCAAAACACAGGACAGAGGAGCCCGGGGTCAGCTGAGCCTGGATGAGAATGGGGGCCGTCAGGCCTGGGCACAGCTCTTCAGGAACAGCCAGGGGCTCCTCCAGGATGCACACACCCAGGCTCTCTATGCTGGAGTCCAGGCTGGCACTCGAGCCGCTGGAGTCTTCCTCTGCCTTGAGCCGTTCCAGTTCCTCCGCACTCTGCAGGTGCATCACTGCTGTCTCATTCTCAGCAATGAACTCCTGGAAGTCCTGTGTCTCAGAGCCCTGGGCTCCTGTCAGGCTGCAGCCAGCGGTGGGGGAGGGCTCCTCGTCTGGGGCAGGCGGGCGGCTCACCTGCCGCTTGCTCTCCAGCTCCAGCTTCATGATGGTGTGGAGGTAATGAGTCCGGACCCGGATTGGATTAAATTCAATACGCCCAGCCATGTTCCCACAGCCATCCCGGGAGCAGCCACATGGAAAGGACATGCGATCCACCTGAGGAGGGGACAAGGAGGTTGAGGCAAGAGGAGACCAACAGTTTAACAATGGCGACAGGAGACGTTAGCTGGCAAAAACAAGCAGGTGGGATCTGTGGTCTTCTTACAAGAAGAGACACAGCCAATTCAAAACAACATGCAGCGTGAGCTAACACAGCACCAGATGGTAGTTATCAGACCACTTGCGTTTCCAGTGCAGCCTCATTTCTCTCTAGGGCTTTGTTTTCTAAACAAAAAGTAGACAAAAATCATATCAGAGGGCCCTTCCAAGTTCAAAAGTCCAGAGATGCCTCTCTGAATGCCAACACTTCTCAGAGCAGAAAACAAAAGGCTGGGGCTAAGCCTCTTGTCTTCTGCGAGGACAGGCATGGGAAAGGGAGAAGTCACAGCTAGTCCAAAGAAATACATTCTGGGGAAACTAACAAAAGGTGCTACAATGAATGTTCAAACAAAACAGCCAGGTTTTCACTACCGGCTTCATTTTCCCTGTGGTTGACCAGTTCGGTTCTGAAGCTGTTACCAAGATAACTAACTTACAGACCAAAGTTACCTGGAAAGCAGATGCTTTCTACTTCCTTTTCTCCCTTTTGGATCCCAAAAAAGGGGGGGGGGGAAATAGTGAAAATTAAATTAAAAATGTGAGTAAGCTGGTATGTACAAATACAGTTTTTTCCTATGATGTCAACTTAACTCTCCATTTCAGTTCTTAGGAACAGTCTATCAGGACTGTCCTCAGGTCTGTGAATAACAGACTGATTGATTATGGGACTTCAGTCTGAAAAGCAGGATTTGGCTAGATCCACTACAGCTATCTGACACCTACCCAAAAATAACAAAGTAAAGGTTGGTCAGGAGTTCAACTATAAGGACTCAGCATCCACATCCTCAGTATACAAGTTCCACATACATTTCATTCTTTGGGATGGTACTGCTGTTTTCAATTGAAATGTGTTTTCCAAACTGTCCATTAGAGGGCCAGCTGGGGGATGATGCTATCTTTTAGGGCACCATGAATTTAAGCTCTGCCAGGCCAAGTGTGATCCTGAATGACAGGATCCAAGAACTATTTTGATTTTTATAAAACTGGAGTAGAGGTACTGTGAATAAGTGTCTGCACGATAGAATCTAAAGGTCTACCTCAGCCCGGCCGGGCGTGGCTCATCGGTTGAGCATTGACCTAGGATCCAGGAGATCGGGGTTCGATTCCCGGTCAGGGCACATGCCCAGGTTGCAGGCTCGATCCCCAGTCGGGGGCGTGTAGGAGGCAGCTGATCAATGACTCTCTCATCATTGATGTTTCTCTCTCTCTCTCCCTCTCCTTTCCTCTCTCTGAAATCAATAAAGATATATTTTTTAAAAAACAAGTAAGTAAAACATAAAGGTCTACCTCATTTCTCTGCTTCCTTTTATCTCAAGGAACAAGTCAATATTTAGGGAACAGCTACTAAGTGTTACACTTACTAACCCCCACTCCTCCATTTGCTGACAGCTGCTTCTCAGCACCCCCAAGGTATAAAACACAGACGAGATAACAGGTATCTCCACAGCCTGAATCTTGTCATGCTGTTTTTTTTGGCTGGTGGAGGAGGGCTGTGGAACTAGGGAGTGTTCAGTCATGGGGAATCTGCCCTCTAATGGGCAGCCTCCCAGGTTCACCGGCACCCACGCCACACACTCCTGACTCGAATGCAGATACACCATCTCAGGGCAACTTGGACTGACCTGGCATTTAATCCCAGCTTGGCTACAGGCACACGCTTCTGGGTCACAATACAGTCGACAATCACAACCACACTCTTCCCGTGACAGGCGGATGGCTCGAAGTTCTTGCTTCTCTTCAGCATCAATGCGGTGGACCCCAGATGCCCTTAGCAGGGCCCGTCGCCGCTTGGTGGGCAGAGGCTGCAGGAAGAAGTAATCATCCACCTCCACATTTTCCACATCAATGTCTTCATCAGAAACATCATCCAGTGTCAGGCCATCGGCCTCCACTGACTCCACTGTCCCGTTCTTGGTCAGCTGCCAAGAGACAGGAAGGAAGGTTAGCCTCCAGAGCGTTACCAGCGTGAGCCCCCTTACAGGGCCTCTGAGTAGCATGGTCCAACAACTTTCCGCGAGGGAAACACCCATGCTGTCTAATACAGTAGCCACCAGCACATGTGGCTTTTGAGCACTGTCAGTGTAGCTAGTGTAACTGAGCAACTGAACTTTAAATTTTAATTTTAAGTATAAATAGCTACATGTGGCTACCATATGGGAAGGTGTAGGTCAAAAGACTAAATCTAGCCCTGGCCTGCGTTGCTCAGATGGTTGGAGCGTTGTCCCTTACACCAAAAGGTGGCGCGTTCAATTCCAGGTCAGGGCACATACCCAGGTTTTGAGTTTGATCCCCGATCGGGGCACACGTGGGAGGCAACTCATCAATGTTACCCTCCCACATCAATGTCTCTCTCTCCTCCAACCCCTTCTCTCCTTCCCGCCTTTTAAGATCAATAAAATAAAATTTTTTTAAATAGACAATAAATCTAGCCCTGGCCAGGTAGCTCAGTTGGTTGGAGTGTTGTTCCAATGCGTCAAGGTTGTGGGTTTGACCCCGTCAGGGCACATGCAAGAATCAACCAATGAATATATAAATAAGTGGAACAACAAATCGATGTTTCTCTAAAATAAATAAACAAATACATAAATAAATCAATAAATAATCTAGAGCAGGAAGACTGGAAGCCTCATGCAGATCTAACACCATCCTATCAACACAGGGATCGAAGTTTCTCAAAACCCATCCCCTCTTCCCTCCCAGAATTTAATCTATTCCCACAAATACACCCTCCATTGCCAGACTTGTGCCCCTTCACTTTGGCTAACTGCCTTCTAATACCAGGAGGAAGTGTATCAATGCTGGATATTCCTTGGGTGTATAGATAACCTTGCAAACACCCTTCAATTTGCACCCCTCAAAGGACTCAAAACCACATTTTGGGAAAAAGGGAGAGGACGTTAAAGTGTTATACAAGGTCAATGAACCTGAATTTCCACTGTGAAAGCATCTATCCATACACAGGAGAGCTGCATTTTATTGGGAAGAGAAAAATATAAGCAAATTATCAACGTCTATCGAGCCCTTACTTCCAACCCATGGCCTAGAAGAAATATATTTTTTCTCCTTTCTAATCGTTTTCATTTGATTTCAAAGAAAAGTTGTACGTGAGGTAAGGTGGCATATGTAATATAGGCAGAACTGGGTTCTCTTGGCTAAGAGAGATAGCCAGCCAGGTAAGGGAATCTTAGTGGAAGAACAGGTTGAAGACAATCTATAGTTGAATGAGTTTTGAAAACTCACTAGAAAATTCAAGCAAAGAAAACGAGGTCTCATAATCCTCAGGGCCCTGGAAGCTACTAGCAGGGTGAAAGCCAAGCTACTGGAGGGTTTGGCTTATTTCATCAGACAGCCAGAGTAGTGCTGGGAAAGGAACAACTCCTAGGAGAGATGTGATGCAACAGACTGTGGTAATAAGCTACACACCTGTTTGTTTGTTTGTTTGTGTTTGTTTTGGGTAAGGTGGTAAAAAATGAGAGAAATAAAGTGGTACTTCTGAGGATTCCTTAAGTCTATTATTTCCATACCAGGCCAACCACAAGGGGCCTTTCCTCGGACCTTAGGCTTGCTCCTGTCCATTTCACCAGGGTTCACTTCCTCCTAATCACCCTCACTCCTGCTATCCTCTCAAAGGGAAGAGATTAGAGATGCAATAGAAAGAAACCCGCGTAGATGAGAATATCTCATGACAGAGGTGACATTTCATATCACTGACAGAGTCTTTCAATAACTAAATGGTATTGGGATAAACAAACATATATCTAACAAAATCTAACCTTTTTAAATATATATATATATTTAAAAAGGTTAGATTCCCAATTCATACTATTCATAACAATGAATTCCATATAGGTAAAAGGCAAAAAAAGGTAATGAAAGTATTAGAAAAATTATTGGTAATTAAAGCTGCAGAGTACCAACAGCTTTTTATTTTATTCTATTTTATTAATTGGAGAAAGAGAAACACTGACCAATTGCCTTCCATACACACCCTGACTGGGGACCGAACCTGCAACCTGGGCATGTGCCAACTGGGAATTGAACCAGTGACCTTTCCATGCACGGGACCACGCCCAACCAACTGAGCCACATTGGCCAGGACATCAGTAGCTTTTTCTCTTTCTTTTTTTTTTGGTGGTAGCCCAAAAGAAAAATAAATATTAGATGGCATATGGGAAATGCAGAATATATATTTTTGAGACCAACTGCCTCCCCTATAAGGAGTGCTAAAGATAGGAAATCTATCAGATTTAGGAGACGGATGGATTCTTCTTCGGAGAAGGGAAGAAAGCCTTCATTGCAAATGATGAGAACAGTGTTTATTTGCCCAGCTGTTACTATAGCAGCAGGAAGGGGATGGGGTCAATGACAGAATTCCTCAGACAGAGAAAGGGAAGCCTGAATGTCACTCCAGTTAGAAAGACAGGTGTATGGTTTTAGAAGTAGGCTGAGGGAAATAGACATAGCATGACATCCAGTTAACCTACATCCTCTGCCGCCAGTTCTCCAACCCGACCACACTGTGGTGTGTCTCAGCAGGATTGCACCCACAACCCTGGCAATAATGCAGTCACCTGTTTTAATATGGGCCTGCAAGAAACTTAGCCAGGCTAAAACAGTATTCTCCAAATTTGGAACTAAGAACTCTTGGGGAAATTTTTGCAGACTGGTGGAAACTATGGCTGTGGAATGCCAAGCAGTGCTAAGGGAGCAAATGGGTAGCTATAAGGAGCCATCTGAGGATGGGCCTTCTTCCAGGCCTGCCCTCCTCCTATACGTGAAGAGCTGGTGCAGCATCAGTGGCAGGCACAGTACTATGCAAATCAAAATAGCCATTTCGTAATGCTGTTGCTTACACCTGAAAGACTATCACCTAGAGGTGATGGGGGTTATAGAAATAGCAGGATCCTTTCAGACAATTTAAAGATCCCAAACTTGTCCTGTGTCATCTGGTAAGACATTGAAACATTGTGCTTCCTCAGGTTCTAGGGGGGCCAACTTGAATATCTTCAAGTATCCATATTTTAAACCTTTAAAAAAATTTGTTGAGGTTGGCAATGGTTGGGAATTCTAGAGAATCCATTTTGCTATCTCTGGTAGACTTCCCACCAGACACAAAAAGAAGGGTGTCTTAGACTGATATCTGATTCCATATCTGAGCCTTTTCACTAATAAGATCTGGAATCTACATATCAAGGGAAGCAGAAATAAAATATAAAATATAAAATAAAATAATAAAATAATAATAAAATTAAAGTGAAATAAAATAAAAATAATAAAATAAAATATCAATAGACCTAGGTGGTTTCCCACTTTATTTTGGCACATGGGAAGTACCAGACCCCAGATCCCCTAGGCACCTTCATCTTCTTGGCATGGAGTTTCTCTTCCTTCAGGTGCTCACGAAGAATCTCCCGATGGTTCACCTCCTGCTCTTGAGCAAACTCACAGAGCGTGTAGCTGCGTACAGAATTATGACGCTGTGCCATGCCCAGAGAGCTACCACCCTGGCTGGGCACACTGGTGAAACCCTGGCGCCGAGCAAAGTAGTACACAGTCACCTGGTCAAAGCGCACATTTTTCCTCCGTAGCTGCTTCTGCCGCTTCAGGATGGAGGTGGCTGAGAAGGGAGCAGAGAGCAGTTTTATTAACCCAGAGATGGCCTGTTTGGGGACCGCATGCTTTCTCATCCACCTAGGCTCTCAACTCTTCTCCAAAGATACTCCCTGTACCTAGAGACATTTCTAATTTTCAAATCATGAATGTACAGCTGGAAGGAACCTTGAGCATCAGCTGGCCCATAGCACTGCCTCTGACTGACCTGAACTAAGCAGACCACAAAGTCTATTTTTAGACATCAGCTGGGAAGAGGATCTCTAGGTAATCTTCTCAGGATAAAACAACCTATAGCGCTTCACTGTCCAACACAGCAGCTACTAGCCACACATGTCAATTTAAATGTAAGTTAATTAAAATGAAAAAGCATTTACAACTCAGGTCCTCAGTTACACTAATCTCATTTCAAGTGCTCAACAGTCACATATGGATAATGGCTACCACAGTGGACAGAGCAGATATAGAACATCTTTCATAACAGAAAATTCTATTGATAGTGTTGTATAATGGGATAGAAAACCTCTTTTGTAAGGGGTCAAGCAATATGTATTTTAGGTTTTGCAGGCTCTGTTGCAATTACTCAACTCTGTCATTGTAGCATGAAAGCAATCACAGACAATGGGTGTGGCTGTGTTCCAATAAAACTTTATTTACAAAAGCAGGCAGTGAGCCAGATTTGGCCCATAGGCAACCCCTGATCTACAGTATCAGAAATTTTTTCCAAGAACCTAATTGAGCCAGAATTAAGAAATCTGGAGTTGCCCCAGTTGTCGAGGCTATAAAGATTTATGTCCCGCTAGAGCTACAATATCACGGAACTCTGTAGGACTCTGCTGGGAAGGGTCAAATCCGGGACTCCTCTCCTCTTCAATTTAATTCAACCCATTCTGGGATCCACAAATCAAGCACAAGAAAATCAGCTAGAACAAATCAGACTTAAGTCTACATATTAGAGCAATGAGGTCCTCCAAAGAGCAAGGCTGAGCTAAGCGTGGGGAGGATTATGATTAAGGGAAAATCCCCAAGCTGGTTAGAAACTGTCTCTCAAGTGCAGCAATGGGTTCTGATGCTTGGGGACATGAGTGTACACAGGGAGTGGCCTACTCACGTGTGAAGCTGGAAGTTGAAGGAGGATTGAGGCTGTCGCAGCTGTCGGCACTGTCACTGCTGGAGATCTCATCATCTGAGTTGGACACTGATGAGCCCACATCCACATCATCAAACTTCCTCTTGAGACCCGAGCCCGTAAATGCATCCATTGGTTTCAAAGGGGTTTCCTTGGGGAGCCCACCACGTTGGCCCCAAAGCCCCTGTTCACCACCAGCTAGCCAGGTGCATTAGGATTCTGCCCAGGGGAAAAGAGGAATCAGCATTCCTGTCCTAAGACAGACCCCTCCCAAGTCTATAAGTAAAGCTCTCCAATTGAAGAGAGAAAGCACCTGAGCTAGCACTGATGTCCGGTCTCTCCAGATTAGGTCATTTCCCTACTGATTCCGGCCAACATTCTCCTACTTTTGTTTCCCCTCTGTCCCTTCGGTCTCAGTCACTCTCAAAATAATGAGATGAGTAACTGCAGCACCTTTCCCAGCGGAGTGAAGGCCTTTGGTTCCAAGCCAGCTGGGCTCTAGGCTTCATTAGCTGGGGGATAACAGGAGTTGCTCTTCTGATCACACAGGAGAACTCTCCAAGGGGCCAGTAGGAGGAACTGGGGATCAAAAGCAGAATTAGGCTGTGCCTAAACCTAGACTAGATCCAATTATTTTTCTCAGTGAAGATATAGCCTGGCATTTCCCAAAGTGTATATATGAAATAAACTAATTCAATGGATATTAATAACTTTTACATGGAAATAGGACTGCTGTGTCAAAACAGTTTAGAAAACTGCTTATGGGAAGAACTCTTAGAGGCTTTTAATATGCTAATGAGCATGGGGAAGGGTGGAAGAAAACAGCACACAGTGTTTCACACATCTTATTATGGAACCCTTTGTTTTGCAGAGTATTTTAGGGGGCAAATGATTCTTGGAACACACTTTAGGAAATACTGCTCTAGGCTCTCAATTTCAAAGTATATCAGCAGCCAGGGAAACACTTTACCCAGATCTTCACAAGTATAAAGTGCCTCTCTAGGCTCCTAGAAAGGTCAAATTTGGTTCTAAAGAATGAGCTAAAGATTAAAATCTGCACTAGCTTCAAGAATCTTTCCCAATCTCATACTGTTCCATAAAACAGGGCTCCACTGATCTATCATCTTCCTCTGTGCAAGGAAAACTTAGCTTTACCACCTTTGCCCTCTGTAAAGAAACCAGCAAGCAGAAAACAAACAGCAAAAGAAGTGACAATTTACTCTGGTTACATCAATATGTCAGGCAGTGTCTTCAACAAGCCGTCACACAACCAAGGAGTCTGGGATACAAATCTCTCCTCTGTCTTTGGACTTTAGTTCCCAAGGATATGAATCTGCTCCACAGAAATGCTGTCAGGGCCAGAGCCACATGTGATGATACGAAGCCTCCCTGCTTTGCCTCAGTAATGCCAGAATCTCCCCAGACTATGATCTCACTAGTTGCTAATTATGCAGCAGGAATAACAACACTGCCCAGAAAGACAGGGCTGCATTACTGCAGAGCAGCTACCCAGAATATACTGTGGTGTCAAGAGATGCCTGCTACTGAGCTGCTTTTCTGGACTGTGTCTCTTGGAAGCAATTTGTCTGCTCTGGATAAGCTCTACATAGTCAACCAGATCTATTCAGATCTATCCAGATCTCATCAAAATTCTGCCTTTCTAAGTCACAAGATGGACCTAAGAAACCTCAGCCATATAGGTCTCAGACAAGCATATTCCTGAAATAAATTTGGCCAGGGAGGGGAAAAAAAAGCAAGTACTTGATAAGAATTTTAATTAAATTAAAAATGAGCCCAAAGTGTCAATTCTGTTCTTCAGGTTACTGATCTTGCCATCAGAGGTCACATTCTTAGAACATAGTAAGAATGGAGAGTGCCATGGTCTTTCCATAGGTTAGAATACTGCTGGGTTTAAAGATATCTATTAACTAACAAATTTCTCATTCCATTCTATTACGAGGGTGGGGAGAAATCTTTGCAACTGAGTACGTATATGGGTGTGATTAAAAAAAAGAATAATGTTGACAAGTGAACTTAATTTTCCTCCCCATTTATTTTTTAATATGTGTTTGATTTCAGAGAGAGAAAGGGAGAGGAAGACTTAGAAACATCAACAATGAGAGATACATCATTGATCAGTTGCCTCCTGCACACCCCTACTGGGGATTGAGCCTGCATCCTGGGCATGTGCCCTGACGGAAATAGAACGGCGACCTGGTGGGTCAGTACTCAACCACTGAGCCACACTGGCTGGGCTTTCCTCCCCATTTAAAAACCTTATCACCCTAGCCAGTTTGGCTCGCTGGTTAGAGCACCGGCCCTCAGACTGAAGGGTCCGAGGTTCGATTCCAGCCAAGGGCATGTATCTAGGATCCCTGGCCCTGGTCGGGGCGCGTGCAGGGGGCAACCAATAGATGTCTCTCTCACATCAATGTGTTTCTCTCTCTCTCTCTCTCTTCCACCCTCTCTGAAAAGAAATTTGGGGGGTGGGGGGACCTTATCAACCACATGAAAACTCAGACTGAGCTCAAAATCTGCTTTCTCAGAAAGGAAGTCCAGCTTCAGTTTTAACTGAGATCCAGCTAGTATTGCTCCTAGGAAAGTGGCCACCCCCCTACCCTTTTTAAAAAATATTTTTATTGATTTCAGAGGGAGAGGAAGGGGGAGGGAGACAGAAACATCAATGAGTGAGTCACTGATCGGCTGCCTCTTGCATGCCCCTGCTGGGGAGCGAGCCCGAAACCTGGGCACGTGCCCTGACTGGGAATCGAACCTCAATCTCCTGGATCATAGGTTGATGCTCAACCACTGAGCCAGCCTGCCCAGCGAAAGTGGCCCTTTCTTTAGCCTGGAATTACTCAGGGATTTATGATCGGAAGCGAATGTGCACTTCTGATTCTTTCCTGGGGGCCCCTTTGCTTCTGGTAGCGTGGATTCTCTTTGAATATTTCTCTTTAAACCCGGCATGACATTGGGTATGGTCCAAATCATCTTTATTATCAAAATTCTCCACTGTCTTCAACCAGTTGCCCTCTGGGGCATCATTTGTTAGGTTAATTTTTGTGCACTCTGGTGTAGCAAGTATTGCTGGCTGCTCATTCCATTCCTCACCCTTTTATCTATGTCTTCCCCCCTTCCACTTCTGGAATAGTGGTTTCTGGGCAATGATAAGAGGTAGGTAAGGAAGAAAAAGAAAAGATGTGAAACCTAGCAGAAAAATATTTTCCTATGCCTTAGAATATCCTATGGCTGTATGTATAAATAACACACATATTGACTTAGCTCTCTTCACCCTATACAGGATCTGTTAGCATCATGTTCTCGGACATTAACTCCTCTAAAAAAAAAAAAAAATCCATCAATTCTGTCCTGACAACCAGTATGTTTAAATTTCAACCTAGCTCTCCTTGTCCAACTCTCTGGTGTGAACTTAACTTGTTAAATAAAGATGTTCACTGGATACCAAGAACAAACCTCCCATCCACTTCCACAGTGGCCTAAGGAGATCTTGCTTTGCAACAGCAACAACTAGAAGAGGTTCCACATTTTCCAATTTATCAAATCAACCTATCAAACGACAATTAGAAACCAGTCATTCCCACCTCTCACCTGGCAGAGGATCAATGCGTATGTACAAGAGAAACACTTGTAAGTTATGCTCCCATGTATAAACCTATACAGAAATAACCAAGGTGAAACCGGCAATGTGGGCCATAACTGACAGTTAACTGTCAAAATGAGCAACTTGAACAGCAAATGCTTTTGAGAAAATGATGCAAACCTCTATAAAAGCTTTAAAATGCCAGTAAAATGAAAGGTCAACTGACACTTTCTGGCTACATAAATGCTTTACAGTCTTTTCTCAAGTGTTTCTAGCTGAACATTTCCCAAAGGTATCCACAGTATGTAGAAGATATTAGGCCAGCATCAAACAGAATAGATCTACAGCATATGTGCTAAAATTTTAGTACTACAGCTAAGCCTTTTCAGGCCTATGAGGATTCCTTTAAAACCAGAATATAAGACTAGCAAAAGAGGGACCCCCTTACCCCCACCAAATTTTGTGAATGCAGAATATATTTGCAAAGTTTAGGTAATAAAAACCTCTTTCTTAAATGAATCCAAAGTAATAACAAAAGACACATCTCACAGGAAAAAGCCTCTCCGTTCAACTGGAACCCAACCTTCTGCTAAGGGTCAAGGGACCAAAACCTCTAGCAAACTCACCAGGGCTACCATCTGTAGCCAGGTTAGAGGAAGGAAGGCTTGCTAAGTGCTATGATAAACCTGAATAAGATGACCTGTCCTGTTTCTCCATTTACAATATATTGTGGTTAATTCTCAAATACTATGAATTTTGTGGATATGTGTCCTTGTGACTACCAGGATCATGAACTTTTAAAGTACTCAAGTGAAAACATCCTTTAAACTAGGTATTTCAAGGAAGTCGCCCTCCTACACGCACTCCCTGGAGGTTGCCGACTGACACAAGGTTAGAATTTGGCTTTCCATGTCTAAACTCCATCATATAGAGGATACAAGATCTTTGCGGAAGAACTGGGACATGATGCTGTAGGGACCATTAACTTTCAAGGATATCCAGTCATTTATAACTCTGGCACACACCAACATCCTCCTGGCTTTGATGATTTGCAAGATGGAAAGTCAGTACAGAAAAGGAAAATTTGAATCGACTAACTAAAAATTTGAACTGAAAACTGTAGGACAAGGGGACACTGTGTCTCTTGGGGATAACTTCTAATGTTTCATATTGAAGAACGGTTTGTGTGCCACAATGCCACTCTGAACCCCCTGAAAACGATGAATCAAGACCATGGCACTGAAAGGGATGAATGGCAGTCTGCTGCGTGTTTGGGCCTGTGAAAAAGATCAAGCTAGCAACCAGGGCAAGTGATGCTTTCGTTTTCCCACACAACGCCAGAAAAATGGGAGACACATCAGGAACCTGAGCTGAAAGGACATGTCAAGTCACCGGTTCCCCTTAATGGGCACCCTCGCGGAACCTTTCAGCTCCAGGCCCATTTCTTTCTGACTGTAAACCTTCCCGCTCATTCTTATCTTCTGCAGCCCCTACCCAGCCTTCCCATCCCTTCCTGCTTGCTACTCACAAATTCCCAACCACTCCTCCCACATTTTCCTCTATTCCCCCTCCCCTTCCCCTTCCCTTCCCTCCATCCTACATCATCTCCACTCCATTCCGAACTCAACCCTCATCCGCAATCATGCCGGCTTCCAAGCCGCCCATCGGTCTCCCCGAGCTGCCCCCGCAGTCCGGGCCCGCGATCTCCGAGCCGATCGCTCCCACGTCTCTCCCTAATCTTTCCCTTCCAGCGGCGCCTCGGCTCCCCGCCCCCCGACCGCTCCCGTCCGAGCCTCTCTGATTTCTGACCCCTCCATCCTCGCGGCTCTGGGCTGACCACTCCTCCACAGCCGCCCGAGGGCCGATCCCGAGAAAGGACGAGGCAGCACCCTCCGCCCCGCACCCC